GAGAAGCAAGAAAAATCAGTGTGGGGACCACCAGACCAGATGCTTTAACCTCAGGACGAATGATGTCACTGAAAAATCTGGTAGCAGCTGATAGGGATTGAAGGGACGGTCAGAAGCCCCCAAATTTAGTATAAATGATGGAGCAAATGAACAGACATTCAGCTAACACTGATGCACACAAGGCTGAGAGCCTGATGAGGGTCTAGACTGATATCCCAACTCTTCTCATCTTCCTGATCTTCTGCATTGTTCTCACTGCTCTCAAACTCTACAGCAGCCTCTTCACTCTGGTGAGAAACGGACTTCTCCCTATGCCTGCTTCCTCAGCCAGCTGTCAGCTTCACCCCAGGAGAAGCCTGCCTTGGTTCCTTATCTGATCACCATGGTCTGAGTGAGTGTGCATCTGCTGGACTTAGAGCCTAAGGTTTGAGACTTTTGATCTGACACTTGAGCTTAGCATGCAGAGGGAATGTCTGTCATGAGCCTGTCATGACTAAGTGTTTGCAGTGCTTAAAATTAATCTAGAATTGTTTGCTGTGAACTGACTATGTCTATTGTGGTGCCTAGCATTAAGAATTGCCATTTTCTTGATTAAGAACCTATAGAGTGAGATCATATTGAGTGACTTGAGTGAATAAAGCATTGAAAAGGGCAGAAAGCATGTGGATATTTTTTATTTCTCCCCCAGAACTGCATAAGTCACAACTTTGCCCATTGCGACAGTAAGGACAAGATGTGAAAATGAATTATAAGAGTAATACATCGCCAGGCCCACCATAAGTGATCAACAGGTTCATTTCTCCCAGCCCAACTAGAGAAGTATGAGGCAGTGCAGAGAAGCTTCACACTCTTCCCACGTTCTTTGGGTCTCAGAATTTTAACAGCATAATTTAAATAGAGAACCTGTATGACCTTTGCTTTCTGACTATAAAGTCACCAGTAGTACAGCACAACAGGTCATTGATCTAGGCTGGCAGCGAAACATAAAGCTGGTGAATGAAAGTGAACCTTAAATGGCCTATGAGAATGCCAGGACAAGAGCAAGTGGCCTAATCTGTTGAAGCCACAGTCAATGATGACTCATCACAAATGCCATACCAGGCACCAAGATAGGCACGAAATACAAGGACATTTCAAACTCCATGTTTACAACTGAAAGGAAGAGGGGAAGAGAAAAAGAAATAATATGAGTTATGTTTAAAAAAACAGTGTAGAGAACCAATTTTCTCTGATGAAGAAACATGATGGGTTTTTATTTTTTTAAAAAATACATGATTGAATTACAAAGATTTTCTGCAAGTAATTCTATCTAGCTAGATCTAAAATTGATCAATCCATAAAGTTGGCCTTTCCAAATAGAGTAGATTTAGCTCAGTGAGAACATTTAAGGTAGTTTCTAAATAATGTGTGGATCTCCATTTATAGTTACTCAGGTTAGTAAACAGGTCTGAGTGCTTAAAATACCAAAAATTACCCAATAGTATAAGTACCTATAATGTGCAAAAGGGACAAAATCCTGTTAGAATATGGCAACCCACCTTATCTTCCTGAGCACCTACCAAGAATGTTTGACTCTATTAGATGACACAGTATTTTACAGAGGGCTCACTGCAACCCAATCATTATTGGCGTTGAGAAAATCAAATGTAGTTCTTGGCCTGTGGTAGGTCTTAACAAATATTTGTCAATAAATAATGTAGTCACATGAGAAAAACAATAGGTGTTACCTGGATCAGTGCTCTTAGGAGATTATTTTCATTTTGTATAATCACAACTGATTTATTGCACAAATTTGTTATGTGATTTTTATCTCCACAGGGTAGAACTTGAAGAACTATTATCTGGCCTCTTTCATATTTTTTTCCCACTGTTGTTGCCATCTGACTTTAAAAACAAGTTTTATTTTTATGTAGTGTTACTGGTACTATAAAATTAGTACAACTTCTTTGGAGATTGATTTCTTGATTTTATTAATTTTTAAAAAGGTAGACTTTGATTAAGCAATTCTACATCTAGAAACTTCTACTGCACAAAGTTGAATGGACAAGGATGGTTTATAAACTGAGAAATTGGCAATAATTTAAATATCCATAAGAAAGTTTATATAAATTATGATCATCTAGGTAATGGGATACTTTGAAGTTTTTAGAAGAGAATAAGGTAGAGAGTCATGTCTGCCTGTTCCTCAAGGAATCATAAGTGAAAAGAGAAAGGTATGCATGATAGCAATGATGATAATAATAATAATAGTAATCATTGTTATTATAATAAACACTTGTAAAGTATTTTACTGTGTTTTAGACACTTTACATTTATTAACTCATTTAATTCTCACCATAATCCTAACAGTGGATATTATTGTTATCATCACTTTACGGAGGAGGAAACTGAAGCACAGTGATGTCTAATAACTTTCCCAAGGTCACAAAACTAGTATCAGAAGCAAAGCCTGGCTTGAGAATCAGTGTTCTGCCTTAGTTCTATGTTAAAAACATGTACAAGAATATGTGTGTAAACATATATACATATATGTAGACATATTTACTTTTATTATGAGCAGTTACTTATCCTTTTTACAAAATATATACATTCAAAATATAACATTCTAGTCATTTTTCTGCTGCTGCTAGAATTCAAGGAAGAGATTTGGTCTTTTTCCTTATTGCTAGTTATAAAGCTACCATTCATTGATTCATCCAACTAAAACATCTGAACCATGGTAGGTGCCCTGGACAGTTGCTGTTCTCAAGCAGTTCTCTGTCTAGTGGAAGAGAATGACACATAAACATGCAATCCAGAGCCTCTATGCTACATTCTGAACGTCTGTTCCAGAATTTATAGTCAAGCCTTAACTGCCAATGTGATAGTCTTAAGAAGCCTTTGGAGGGGATTGAGTCATGAGGGCTTTGCCCTCAATGTGATGATGCATTAGAAGAGTCTTCACACAGCATTTAACTTTTTTTGACCTTGATCTCCCTGCCATCTGAGGGCATGGGGTTCTTCAGCTGCTGAGGATACACCATCTCAGAAGCAGAGGTCAGCTCTCACCAGACACACCCAACCTGCCAGTGTCTTGGACTTGCTTCTAGAATTGTGAGAAACAGTTTTGTTCTTTATAAATTACCCTGTTGCAGGCCTTTTGTTATAGCAGCATGGACAGAGTGAGGCAATATATAAATGGGGTATACAAAGATGGAACAGGAGGGGCATGAAGGAGAGATAACAATTCTGATAAAGATGTGCTGCAGTCTGGCTGGGCACAAATCACAAGCCACTCAAGCAGGAACAAACTTTATTTCCGAACTCCCACAAATGCCACACACGCAGCCTTCTCCAGGGACACACCACACACCAACCAGAAATCCCTCCTCCGGCACTTCCCCAACCAATGGGGAACTCCCCAGGAATCCCCTCCAAAGTAGCAGGTGGAGGCGGACAGCAGGGGTCTGATATACAATTGAATACACAGCTTAACATAACCATCATCATCTCAATGGCTTGCTGGGGTCACCTCTCAACCACTCCATTCTGGCAAAAATGCCATGCGTCATCCCGACTCAGCTGTGGCCCTCAACAAAGATGAGGTGAGGGGAAGTATGAAGGAAGGCTACCCAGAGAAGGGGTAATGTTTTGCCAAATACAGAAGGAGAAGTAAGAGTTTATCAGGAGACAGTTCTTCACTGGGGTGGGGGAAAGAAGAGAAAAATGGCAGTAAAGATACAAAGCAGGAACCCCCGCTGCTGATTTAGCTGCAGCTTAGGAGGGAAATGTGGATAGTGCCTCTGGAGATGTGGACAGGAACCACAGCACCTAGGCCTTTGAAGGCCATGTTAAGAAGTTCATGCTGGGTGTCTGTACTTATAATTTTGAATACGCTACAACATGGATGAAGCTTGAACACATTACAATAAGTCAAACAAGCTAGTGACAAAGGGACAAATGCTGCATGACTCCACTTATTTGAGGTACACAGAGTAGTCCGATTCACGGCAATTGAAAGTAGAACACTGGCTACCAGGGGGAGGGAAGGAGTGAAGAATGGGGATGATTATTTCTGTCTGAGATGGTGAAAAAGTGCGCGGATGGATTTTATGGTGATGGTTACACGACAATGCAAATGTACTTAATGCCAGTAAAATGTACACTCCAAAAGTGATTGATATATTTAAGTTAAGTATATTTTACCAGTTTGGAAAATAGTGAAAAAGGAAACAAAACACATACAGACCTAGCATTCAGGGAAATAATTTGAAGTTCTTTCCTATTATTAAAATTAGATGTGTACAAAATGTGATTTCTTTGCTACTGTTCCATAATGATGTTACTATGTATTGAAAACAAGCTCTGTGCCAGCTTTATGTCATAGAGAAGGGAAGATGCAGGTTTAGAGAGGTTATCTAACTGACCCTAAAACACACAGCTGGGGCAGGGGACATTTTAAGAAATTCTAGAATTACAACTGAAGTCTTTTAGACTGCAAACACCTTACACTTTTATCAATTCCCAAGGGGCTTGATTATCTTGCTACTTTTTTGGATATGTCAACATCTTTCTTAAAAAAAAAATTTCTCCTCAAATCTTCAGAGAAAGAATTGCTTCAGTGTATTCTGAGTTTAGAAAGTATGAGAAGTCTGAGGCCTTGCAGAATGAAATGTTTGTTGTGTGCTTACTGTTTAGTGACATCTGATAGTTTTTTTTTTTTTTAAAGAATTTTTTTTTTTTTAATATTTATTTTTCAATTCTCGGCGGACACAACATCTTTGTTGGTATGTGGTGCTGAGGATCCAACCGGGCCGCACGCATGCCGGGCGAGCGCGCTACGGCTTGAGCCACATCCCCAGCCCGACATCTGATAGTTTTAAAATGGCTTGGACCCCTTGCAAGAGAGATAAAAACAAAAACACCCAAACCACCTCCACAAACCAAACCACATTCAAATTGAGTCTAGACTCAACAAACCATCACTACTCAGCCACCTGTTATAGCGAGGGGTCGGCACTCTCTTTGCGGCAGTAATCTAGAGAATACGGCGGCTAGCCCCCGCGGCCCGCCTCGCACATTCCAGGTACACAGCCCGCAGAGACCCCTGCACGTGCTCCTGCGCAGGCGCAGGCCCACTGGGTAGCGTTCACCCAGGGCCGCTTCGTACTCCAGTGCCCCCGAGTGGCTTCTGCCTCTGCGCGCCAGGCTCGGGGTCGTCGCTGCCCCTTCTCCAGGTCCTCCGTAGCCCCTGCCCTGGCCAAGCCTGGCGTCCACTCCCCTCTAACCCTGCATTGCACAATGTGGGAGCAAAGTCCCCGAGGGTGTGAACCCGGGTTTCCCTGCCCCTGGGCGGAGACGCGCGGCGGCTGTGCAGGCAGCGGAGCCGGCGAGCGTGCTGTCGGCGCGATCCTCAGGCCCGGACCCCGCGAGTTCCCCGCAAGCCGCGGCCTCAAGCCCCCGCGCCGCTGGGCTCCGCCGCCAGGCCCGCCCGCCGCTCCCCTCACAGGCCCGCGCCGCCGCCGCAGCCATGGCGGAAGTCCATAGACGTCAGCATGCTCGGGTTAAAGGAGAAGCCCCCGCGAAATCCTCCACACACAGAGATGAGGAGGAGCTGGGGATGGCGTCGGCCGAAACGCTGACCGTGTTCCTGAAGCTGCTGGCCGCCGGCTTCTACGGCGTGAGCTCCTTCCTGATCGTGGTGGTGAACAAGAGCGTGCTCACCAACTACAGGTAGGGCCGCGGCGGCGCCGGCCGAGGCCGCGAGGAGGAGCGGGCGGCGGCGCCGCGCAGGCTCCCTGGACTTTGGTTGCCAAAGTTGAAGCGGAGTAAAGTTGGGCGGGATCCGGGGGAGGGTGGCGGCGGGGCCGCGCCGGCCGGGGCTGGGGGTCCCGCTCCGCACGCGGAGCTCCAGACAGCCGCGCGCTCCGGGCCGCCTTCGGCTGTTCTGCCATGCCCTGGGTACAGCGCCCTCCCTGAACATCCTGCCTTTCGTTGCCTGGAGCAAAGTTGCTTGGTGACTTTAGGGCCCCTGTGCATGCCTGCGGGGAAGCGAGCGTGGGATGCGCTCCTTCCTCCGCAGTCTGTTCCCGCGCCGCTGACAGCCTCTGGGGACGTGCGCATCTTCACGCCCATTTACGATTATTCTGCTGCTGTCACGGGGACTTGGAGCAGAAGCTTTTTTTTTTTAAGGTGTGAAACCGTTGAAAAGATCTGTTTCTTAACTTCCTTGAAAAATCCGTTGCAGGCAGCCTACCGAAATTGTAGAATCGGACAAGATGAGACAAGTGGCCGCCCGAGGCTATAAAATCAGCGGTATGGCCTCATAACCGGCAGGATTTTTTTTTCTCACAAGATTTTTATTTGAATAAAGGACAGACGTTGGTGTGGATTTGTATCAAAAGACATTTTAAGATTGTCGGTGCAAAAGTTGAATTCACAGAGCTATGTTTGGGTTTTCTGACTTTTTTCTTTTCTTTATTTCTTTGCCCTTTTTATAGATTTCCCTCCTCGCTATGTGTTGGACTTGGCCAGGTTAGTTGGAATCTTCAGCATTACATGGTTTTATGTTGTCAGAACTTCTCTGTGTGTCTTTATATGTAGAACAGTGCATCTGTGTTCTCTGTTTACAGATGGTGGCCACAGTGGCAGTTCTCTGGGTGGGAAAGGCATTCAGAGTAGTCAAGTTTCCTGACTTTGACAGAAATGTACCTCGAAAGGTAAAAGATTAAAAAAAAAAAAAAAAGTAGTACTTTGTTTTATGAGAAGGAGTCACTGTATTTTTTTTATCAGAGCCTTGCATATTCAAAAATTGTAGCTCTAACGAAATCCACATCTAGATAGAGCACATGTTATGAAGTTAAAGAATAAATGCAGTAATGTGTGTTAGAGAAGTTCACAGTCTCTGTAAAATTAAAGGAAGAAAAAAACCCCAGGAATCTTTTTTGTTTTAATTAATGCTCACTTGTTGGGAGTGCAACAGTTCTGCAGTTTCTATATCCATCTAATCTAGCCAGTGTATCCTGCATTCATTATTCTTGGGTTTATTTTCATGTTCTTCTGTCTGCCTCTGCTTGACTCCACATCAAGATAAAATGCCTGCCTTTTTCTGCTGATATTAGAGCCATGTGCTAATACATTATCATATTTTAAAGCAAATAGTGTTTCTGTCCTACATTGGTCGATCATATTCATATTTCTTTTCTTCCCTGTCTTCCTCCCTCGCTTTCTGCCAGTTTAGTGTTGTGTCTCAGAGAATAGTTAATATTGTTTGGGTGTTTCCTGGGGCTCAGAATTGTTTATGAGAAGTAATCTTAAGTTTCATGTGGAAAGAATTTGATCATAAAAGCAAAACTGTTTCTGTTTGAAAGGACCTTGTTTTAGCTATCTTTATTATTGAGTTTTGTTATCCCTTTTTAAATTTTCTAGACGTTTCCACTACCTCTACTATATTTTGGGAACCAAATCACGGGACTGTTCAGCACAAAGAAACTGAAGTATGGATAACTTTATTTTACTAGTGAGGTTAATATAATGTGTTCTTAAAGTTGTACGTAAATGTGAAATATTTAATGCATTGTTACTGTTTCTAGAAAAAACGGAAGGACTAGAAAGTTTTTGTCATTAAATAATGAAGGTTGCACTAAAGGCTTTAGTGTAAGCTCATTTCTTTTGAAGAGAAAGAATAGTTGCTTTATCCTGTCTCATTTTGATGTTAGAGGTATATAAAATGTTATAAAATGCTATGATAGGGGATTTTCATTATTTTCCCAGACCTGCAGTAGTGAGAGATAAAAGGCTTCTGGGATTTCTATTCATTAATATAGTTAATTAGTACTATATTTTAGGCAGATTCCACACAGCAAAAAAGGATGAAATGAGAGCTTTCAGTTTTTCTTCTCACATGAAATAGTTAAAATGAGATGGAACCCTGATAACAAATATGATTAATATCTTACCCACTGTCATGTAATTATAGAGGCAGCGTCTTTACTTTTAGAAAGAAGCAGTAGCTCTCTCTGACTACATTGTCTATTACCCTCTAACCTTCCAGTTCCTGGCTTCTCCCCTTTGTGGTTTGTGATGTTCCACAGACACCCGTAGGAAAATAGTTTGACAGAAACCCATGGCTCCACTACTTCCACATGAGCTGAAGTTCTGGCATTTTGGATAATCATGAGTAGTGAGATCTCTTGAGAATCAGTGGCATATAATTTTTCATTTCCTCCTTTTTTTAAAGCAAGTAACCTGACAGGATGGCCAGGGGTATCTCTGGGGAGAGTTCCAAGTGAGACAGATTTATTATCATGGGTGGGGCATTCTTTTCCATCTCATTACCCACTTGGAAAGAAATGAAGGTCTGCTGTGAAATGCTGCTTATAGTTTGCTTTTTTTTCATCCATTGCCTGCCATCCATCCATCCATCCATCCATCCCCTACCTTTGTTTGCCAGCTAAATATAAGGCACTTTGTAGTGAGATAAGACATATTCAGAAATAACTATATGTTTATTAGTGCAAGCAAAATGCTCTAGGAATTTAATGGAAGACTTTCACAAAAGGACAAGCAAGGAATGCTTTATGGGGTAAGATTTTCCTAGGTGTTTTGGGGTGGTTTAGTGAAGAAAGGTGATATAGGCCCTTTTACATTAAAGACTAACATCGGTATATCAGGATGTTTGCATACTTAGCAAAGTAAAATTTAAAAATACATGTATTATTTATGATGTATGATTTTTACCATTGTATAGTTAATGTTTCTCACTTTTAGTAGTTTTTTAAAAGCAACTTTTTTAGCTTTTTAAATCATTTATTTCTAGAGAGAAGTAAGGATTTAATTTAATCAGAAGTTAATCAGCATGGAATTTCCATAGGAAAGGAAATAATTAGCATTATTTTAAATTACCAATTTGAAAAATCTTGATTTAAAAAAATAAATTGAACTTTATTTTACCTAATCATCTTTGTTTTTGCAGCTTACCAATGTTTACAGTTTTAAGAAGGTTCTCCATCCTGTTTACAATGTTTGCTGAAGGAGTTTTACTCAAGTGAGCAAAATTTCTAATACATCTTTTCTTTAAACAACTTAAAGCACCTTGAATAGGTGCCCAGCATATGTGAGATATTAAAATTATTTGTCTTGGTTCTACTTCAGCTTTTGAGAAGTTTAAATTCTTTCCTTGCCATCAAATTGATAGTTTGTGGGAGCAGTAGTTGGGAAGGTTAAACGAGTTGGAAACCTATCTGAACTTGAGTTTTAATTTTCTACAGTTTCTATGTCTACTGCTGCCACTGAGTGAAGCTGGGTCAGAATCACAGTTCTAGGTTTTAAATAGCATTTATATCTTTTACTGAAAATGTGTGTTTCCTACTTTAAAAAATCCTGACTTACAAAAATGCCAACTCAATAGCAAATGGTAAGAATAAGAAAAATGACTACAATTATTTACATAGCAAATTGAGTTTTTGCTTCATCAATGAGATTCTTTTAAATATCCAGTTCCTTGGAAATATTTAAAATACTATTGTTTATGTTTTTTTGCCTGTTATGAAATGTGTCTGTACGAATAATAAAGTCACATATATATTTTTTTTAATTATCTTATTTTGTAGGAAGACTTTTTCTTGGGGTATTCAGATGACCGTATTTGCAATGATTATTGGAGCCTTTGTAGCTGCCAGGTAAGATGAGGGCCTATAGATAGCACATTAAAAATTGTCAATACATTTTGATAATAAATGATCAGTTACCAATCAGAATAATTTTTTTGTAGCCTAAGTAAAAGTCATGTCTTCTTCAGAAGTTAAATCTTTGGCTGTGTTAAGGTCAAGGCTGGCAAAATTCAAATTTTTGGGATTCTTAAATTCATGTAAGTTAGGATTTATTACTCTCCTGTACTTACTGAGCACATACTGTGTGCCACAAAATATTTTCAGCATTGAGCACATTATTTATGTATTCTTCATAGTGCTGAATGGTATGGGTATAATTTTCCTACTTTATAGTTAAAGGAAACTTAAAGTTCTATACTTGCTCAAGGTCGCACTGCTAATAAATGCTGGAATTTGAATGTGTGCCTGAATTCAGAGCCTATGCGATTTCATAAACCATGTGGCATTCTTTTACTTTGCAAATTTTTAAAGAAAATTTTGTGAGGTGAGGCAAATGACAATGAATACCTTGACTTATGGAATAATGAATAATATCATTGCTTTATTTGGCCTCACTTAAGATACATTACAGATGTCATTACTTAGTCTTATTAGATACTGGAACATTCCCCCTTTTTATAAAAGTTCTAGTTTTAAAGTGTATGAGGAAAATACAAAGCAATGATAAATGTTTAAGGAGATGACTATGCTAATTGTTCTGATTTGATCATTACACATTGTGTATGTATAGAATTATCACACTATACACCCAAAATATACATGATTATTTTGCTGCAGTTTAAAAATAAATAAAGAAAAAAAATTACATGGGGAAAATGTATACCCAAAGACAGAAAATGAAAATGATCACTAGAAGCCTGATACATTTTACTCAGCCCTGGGCATGCATAGATGGATTTGCTGATGTCACAGATTCTACCTGACATACATTTTCATCTGGGTATTCCAATGGATGGCTCATTTACTTTCATCATATCCCTGTGGTGTAACTGGGGGGAAGTATAATTTAAATTCTATTTTATCTTACATCTCCAAGTGAAATTTCATTCTAAAAAAGAGAGGGTGGTAAAATTTGTTACCAGAATTTGGTTTTATAGCCAAATGTTGTATTTGTCTCCTTGGAGAAAAATTCTACACCAGGTATCTGCCTTTCTTTTTAAAGGTGTTCTGCTAACCTCTGAACATTTTGAAGCATTTCCTTGAAGCCAGTGAGATCCAAAATTGTACAACAGGTTTATTCAGGACTCACTTTGGCCTGCAGAAAGCTTTGAGGAGGGTTTCTAACTAGCCCTGCTTAATTAGAACCTTTGGCTTGTGAAAAAGATGGAAAGAAGAGAACCTGAAGTTAGAGTGTTGTCAGATGCTTGGATTAGGGGTGTGCATTAGGCTAGTCCTGTCTGAAACTGCAGCAGTATGCAGCTCCTCAGGTTTTGGTTCCATTTAGAGGTTCAGCTACAAGCATTGTAGTGTCTCTGCAAAGTCATAGAATGTGAGGCCACCATTTTGGCTGGGGTGCTAAAGTACGCTGAAGGCATACTTTGCTCAGATTATTCATTTATTCCATTAAATTTACTGATTTCTTATCTTGTGCTTACTACCCTATTAAGTAGCAGAGATTTTCAATTTCCCCAGTCTCACTAGTTTTACCTCATTGAGTAAGTATTTGAGTTCCTACTATGTGCCCTCTCACAACTTACTGTGATCCATACTTCAGAAATTCTGCCCAACTACCCGTGGAAGTTAGTCCCATCTTTTGCGTGAACTTTTTGAAAAATGATATGTTAAGAACTTTTGATTTCCTTATTTGTGAAATTGATGCCTTCTGCCTGATTTGGTCTGACTTTGAATTCAGAACAGTTTACTATTAACTGGCATGATTGATTATTCCTTATGATGTGTTTAAGCATTAGTGTTTTTGTTTCTAAAATAATCCCTATTGAAATAGTATGGAATTGCCAACTGTGACCAGGACTCAAGAAATACTAGTAGCTGATAAAATAACCTAATGTTCATTTAGCTGGAAAAGAAATGTTCTTGCAAATATTGTAGTTCAGACCTATTAAAAATTTAATGCATGTTCTTTAAATCTAACTTATTCTTAAAGTTTTGCTTATGTTTTGCAGCTCTGACTTGGCATTTGATCTGGAAGGATATGTTTTTATTCTGATAAACGATGTACTGACAGCAGCAAATGGTGCATACGTAAAACAAAAATTAGATTCAAAAGTAGGTAGCTATCTAAAACTTCTTTATTAGATATTTACTGATGTTGGGAATGGTAATAGCAATTCATCAGGATAAAAAGTATGGAATAAAGAAAAATACTTAGAAGGGATGGGAGAGACATGGGGGTTCTCTGAGGGTAGATTCCTATATTCTGGTGTTCACATAAGAAAGTTTTTAAATTAGCAATTAGGTTTTATTGATGGCTTTTGGGAAGGGATTATGGGAATATTGACTTAGAGTGGGGTAGGAAGGTTACAAAGTTCATAGAGAAAAATGAAATAAATGCTCATGGCTCTGTTCTGAAGATACTTGGTGAGGGACCTGGAACAAGAGAAATATATCCTAAAGCCTTTGGGCAATCTTTAAGGGAAGTGAGTGTTGGAGGGCGCTTGCAGAACAGGATGACCTTTGTGTACTTGCCCGACAAATGGTAGGAATCTTGAGGAAGCATTAGTTTCGCTCTCTCAGGGGTACTGCTGAGTTTCCTGGCTTGGATCTCATACGTGACCTTTGTACATCCAGCTCTTTGCCTTCTATTGGTGGCGTGGACATGAAGGCATTTCAGAATATTTTTTGTTTGTTTGCTATATACTTTGAGTATGCAAACATTAAATTTATTTTCAGATCAAGCCAGACCATCAGAAAGCTGAGTATTTGACCCACAATTCTTTTGATACATTATGAGGTTGTATTATAGTAAAAAACAGGTATTTAGAACTCAGCTTGCTGCATCATAGGGTTGTTTTTGAAGGAGTTGTTCTTGATTTCATAATGTATCCTAGGTGAGTACCCATATGAGATATTTATCTTAGATGTCACCATAGTTTTTCCTGAGCAGCTGGTATGTTTTTATCTCATAATTTAGTCTTATAACTGATGATGGTTTTATCTTATTTTCTACCCGTGTTTTATCTTCAGATGACCTTATCTGCTTAGTTCTTTTTTTTAATATTTATTTTTTTAGTTGTAGTTGGATACAATATCTTTATTTTATTTATTTATTTTTATGTGGTGCTGAGGATTGAACCCAGGGCCTTGCACATGCTAGGCGAGTGCTCTACTGCTGAGCCACAATCCCCCGTTCTGCTTAGTTCTTACTCTGCTATATTATACTTAGAATATTTCTGAAATTACTTCAGGTCTTTTTTTGAAATTTAGATGATAAATAAATATAAATATCCTGTTCAATAGTTATAATAGTATTGAGTTGGAATCCTTTTGGCCAGGGCTTTGCCTTCTCCTCCAGAGAATTACAGATTGTGTGATTATCCCATTCATTATTCTCAGAGAATTTTTTAAAAAAATATCCTTGAAGAACTAGGGACAGTATAGATTTTTTTCCTATACATTTTCTCTAAGTATGCCTTTTATGTCTCATCCTTCATTTATTTGCCTGATGACTGTATGATGATTGCATTTCAAAGGAAGATGCTAGTAAACATTTTTGCCTTTTTTAAGAGAGCAGATAGAAGTTTGGTCTTACTCTGATGTGTGTGTGTGTGTTTCCTTTTAATCCATTTACTGCTTTGGAGAATAAATACTAATTAAAACATTTATCCAGCAGCTTCAATTGTCTGAAGCAATGCTGTCCAGTAGAATTTCTTTTGATGTTGGAAGTCTTCTTTATCTCTCTCTGCTGTTTGTTACTAATAGCCACGAGACATATGTGGATATTGAGCATTTAAAAAGTGACAGATATAATTGAGGAACTGAATTGGAAGCTTTATGTAATTATAATTAACTTTAAATAGCTACATGTGGCTAGTGGCTACTATTTTTGAACAGTGCAGTCTAGAATACATCCCAGAACCTAGGGGAAAAAAAAAGTTCAGAGTATTTTACTCCTAGGAGAGACATTTAGTTCCTCACTTAGAAATGACTTAGAATTTATTTACGTTGGAACTTTTAAGCTCACTGATCTGCTTTTCATTTCATGGATTACAATCAGCAAACTAGAAGTGGTGTTCTGTTTAGAGGCAAAGGCTTGCCAGTAGTGTAAAAGATAATCTGCAACAAGAGAAACAGAAAAACTCTGAAACAGACACAAATACTGATGAAAAAAATAGCACAGGGGCTATTAAACAGCATTAAGGGCAGCACTGTATCAGAACATGCTATAGTAATGTGTGTTTATGATGATGCACTAAGTAAAATTTAGTTGGTGTACTGTGTTTAAGAAGTTTGGGAGAGTTAGGTATGGTAGTACATGCCTGTAATCCCAGCAGCTCAGGAGTCTGAGGAGGAGAATCACAGGTTTAAGGCTAGCCTCAGCAACTTAATGAGACCTGGTCTTAAAATAAAAAAGATAATAAACTATGAGGGTGTAGCTCAATGGTAAAGCACCTCTGGATTCAATCCCCAGTAACTTAAAAAAAAAAAAAATTCAGGAGTCGGGAAGAAAGATACTCAAAACAGGGCTGAGGTTGTGGCTCAGTGGTAGAGCACTTGGCTAGTACGTGTGAGGCACTGGGTTTGATCCTCAGCACTGCATAAAAATAAATAAATAAATAAAAGCATTGTGTCCATCTACAACTAAAAATATTTTAAAAAGTACTCAAAACAGTTAAAATGTGAAAAGAAAACAGTTTCGGCATTTCTATTTTTGTTATTTGTCAGTTATGTGAATGATGTGGATCATTTGTTTGCTTCTATATACATCCTCCATTCCTGGATAGCACATGTCTCTGGCTGACTGGGCGCCTATTCTTAAAGATTGCTTTGTTTCTCTATGGCTTTTTGCTTGCTGCCATGCAAAATGAGGCACACTTTTCAGTGATACTTGTGACCATAAACAATTAATTATTTGGTTTATCGTAGTATGGCCAACACGGAGATACTTTAAATAAATCATAAATTTTATTACCTATAATTTCAGGACTACTTATAATCCTGGTCCTGTGAACGTGAATCATACAGCATAAAGCTTAGTGCTGCATTTCAGACTTGAATGCATCTGTTGAAATTAAAGCCTTTTTAACTTAAGAAAGTCACACAAAATCATACATCATCATCATCATCATCATTATTATTATTATTATCATCCTAGGAGCTGGGGAAATATGGTCTCCTCTATTACAACGCACTGTTCATGATTCTGCCCACCCTGGCCATTGCATATTTCACAGGAGATGCACAAAAGGTAGGACTTTCTAATTATGGTTAAATGCCTTATGTTGATGAATTACTTTATTGTTTTTGACCAAAAAAAATAGACTGTGGGGTTGTTAAAAAGAAATGTGCTTATTAAGTAACCACACACTGAGAATTTACTCTTTACTAATGTCATGCTAACTTCCTTCTTGGCATAAGTGCTGGAGAGTACTAAGGTGCCTCAAAATAGCTCTTGTCAACATAAAAATAGTACATGCTAACTAGTATCCTTTTCATATATGCCAGAATAGAGGAAGGGAATTTTTACATTTTTATTAAACTATAAAATAGGAATCTTAGCAAACTATCCTTGAGAAGCAAAAGAATCTTGAAATAGTAAAAACTTCAAAACCCTAAGCAAGATTCTGGCATCACTAGAATTTTGTTTCTCTGACAATTGTCATCCTGGCTTAAATTCCAAGTTGTTTTTTTTTCCTTAGGAGATACTTATTACTATGTGGTGCCATGACCATATAAATAGAAACTAATGTTGGTAACCAATTTTCTGCAAATGTTTAGTTAAGTTAATCCAAAATAGAGTACTAAAGTAAATCTAGAGAAGAATTTTTCTCTAAAATAAACTTGTATTCCTAGGGAAAAAGTTAATTCCATATTGTTAGAATTTATAACATTTTGCAAATCAAATTGAAATTCAGAATCCTACCAAGGATTTCTGTCCCAGATTCTTTCTGATAATCCCCCTGGCTAGTACTTCATCAAATACTTATTACTCATTCATTCTTAAGACAGTGATGATGCCCACAGATCAGTGAAGGCTGAAATAAAAAGGTTTTGAGAGCAATTAGACTATTGAAAACTTGTTCTTGAAACAAAGACAGGATACTGATAATTTATGAAACATAGTTACATAAGACCTCTTTCTTTTAAATAATTGGCACATATCATTTTGAATAGATGTGTAAAGTTCTAATGATGTGATCTGGGTACTAGAAGATCTAGAAATGGCCCTGAAGTAGGAAACAGAGCTAACTACTCTGACCAGTTGTGATGAGTAAATTTCTGTGACTGTGAAGAAAACGGTAGGAAAAACTAGCATTTTTTGAATCTATATTATCTGCTAGTTGCTTTCTATATATAACATAATAGCTTAGAAAGTTTACATTATCTCTAGTTTACTAATGTGAGAGTAGAGGTTCAGAGAAAGTAAATAACTTGCCCAAAGCCATACTAAGGGGTAGGGGGTATAGGGTGGGGGGATGGGGGGTAGTAGGATCAGAATTTAAACCCAAGCCTTATAGCAAAGACTAGGGTCTTTCCACAGTGGTCTGCTTCCTCCAAGCAAGACCCTGACTGAAGCACCCTTTACTCTTTGGAGTAAGAATGTGATGTAAAATGACCATCCCCTAATGGCAAGATGGTTCCAATTCTCTAGGCCAATTTGTATATGAGAAAGTTGGAAGAATTAATATGGTTAGGTATTCTAAGGACCTAGCAAAGACAGAATTTTCATTATATTAAAACTTTGACCAATAGCGTGTAGCTACTTGAAAAAAATTGACCAAAGGAGACATTTCTTCATTCCAGAATGCTGACAATTTATGTAAAAAGTTATAATTTGCACATTTTGAAATTCAGTAACTCACATTCATATTGAAATGCTTTAGTGTGGTTAAGAATGTTTATTCATAGTGTGAAAATTTGCTTTGTCACCTATGTTAGATCTAGATTTCCTCTTATTCTTTTCTTCTATTTCTAAGCAGAAGAGTAGAATTTTGAATAATAGTCTTTTGTTTCTCCAATAAAAGTGCCAAAGTCAAGAAAGGTTTATTTTAGAAGAATAACGATTTTGAAGAATGTGAGTTCATTTAAATATTTTCCAGTTAGAATGATAAACTAATTTTAGAAATTGAACTCATTGTTTTATAGTGAAACTCCATCATTATTTTGGATTTTGTATAAATGTTTATTCTCATTCTTATTACTAATAAAACATTTATTGCGGTACAAATGGATATTGGCTTTCTTACAATCCCTTGCTCTTTTTCTAAACATTTTTTCCTTAACATCTTCTCTGTCTCAACATTCTCATATAGTTAAAGACTATTGTATATCTCACTATGTTAGACTCAGAAAATAAGAAAAAAGAAGCTGCAATAAAATGGTATCGTCTTTAAAGACCATACCATCTTATTAGGGAGCAGACTTGCCATTCTAAGAGCAACATACTCCTTATGGTTTAGATATAAGGTATCCCCCAAAAGCCTAGGTATGAGACAATATCAAAGTGCATGCCTATTAGTAAGTACTATGAGTATTCAGGTTAGGAAGAAAATGGTGTGAGTTAAGTATCAATAATTGTTGTTTAGTGAGGTAGTTCTTGTTTTCTTTAATTTTTTTTTAGTTGTAGATGGACACAATGCCTTTATTTATTTATTTGTTTATTTATTTATTTATTATGTGGTGCTGAGAATCGAACCCAGTGCCTCACACTGGGTTTGATCTTTTTTTTTTTTTCCTTTTCAATTCTTAGAAGAGCATCTGTTGCATAATAAGTACTTAATATATATTCTTTGAAATAGCAGTGATTCTGTAACTGTAGGCAGGTAGGGTTTGACTGGAGGAGGTGGGTCACTGGGGGTGTGCCTTGCCTTGGGGGCTTTTCTTTTGTCCTTGTGTAGGAGCTCTTCCTCTTGACCACTCCTGAGCTGTTTCCCTCCACTGCACTCTTCTGCCATGATGTTCTGCCTCACCTCAGGCCCAGAACTGTGTAACTGGCCATGTATGAACTGGCCATGTATGTATGAGTGCTGGCAGGTACTCTACCACTGAGCCACAATCCCAGCCCAGTTCTTGTTTTCTTAACCACCAAATGCAATAAGCAGTGTTAGCCTGTTTTGGGGCTTGTTTTAGAGACAAGACTTACAAAGGTGGTTGAGTGATTATTTTCTTATTTAAAACAGTCTGTATGTAGTAGGTGGAAGCCTACATAACCCAGGGTGTCCAGGAGACTCATAGTGTTCTACAAGAGGTCTGAGGTTTAGTTTTTCCACTGGAGGATTGATTTTCACAATAGATAGTGGTTTGTTTGTCTGAAGCCTTATCTAAAAGGGTTTGCATTAAAGAATGGGATATATGGTAAGGTAAGAGTTTCTTTCAAAGATCATATTAAGGGCTTATTATGTGTCAGATGTTCTTCTAAGAGTCTGATTCATTGTCAGATTGTCAGTGTGCTTTCCTTCCTACATGTGCATATGTATATTTGGACAAACATGAGTGTTTATGCATACATTTTTAAATGAGGCTGTTGCCAAAAAACAATTTAAGACTGTTTCTGGCCATTAGTATACTTTACCTATTTGGTATGATGCCTTCTACCTGACAGGATACTTCAACATAAATAATTTCCCCTGATCTTTGTTACATATCTCTGTAGTAGGTTGTTATCTGTTTTTCAGATGCTAGAAACATGCTCAAGCCCAGTTGGCAAGGTTCAGAACTAGAACCGGTGTGACTCCAGAAACCTTGCTTTTTGCCTGAGTACGTGTATCTCCCAAAACCATCTGCTGTCCCTGACTTACATTCTCCATTTGGGACTTCATGCAGGGACTTCTTGTAGGACAAGCCCTCAAATGTGAGAAATAACTCAGTGGTGGTTAAAAGAGTAGTATTAGAAGTAGTCAGCAACTTGTCCTTGTCATTAATTATTTACAAACAATCACTGTTCTTTCAAAGACCATATTAAGTGCTTATTGTGTGTCAGATGCTCTTATAAGAATTGAAAAGTAAAAAAACAAAGACCAAGGTCTTTGCTTTAATTGTGCTTGGATTCCAGTGGGGTGAGATAGACTACACATAAATTATATACTAAGAGCAATGAAGAGAAGTAGAGCATGAGGAGAATGAAGGGAAGTGCTGTTTTTAGTAAGTTAGCTAAGAAAGTTGTCTTTACAAGATTCATTTAAGCAGACATGAACTGAATGGATTGAGAAACCAATTTGTGTGGCTTTTTGGAGAGGAAGTCATCTAGATCTAGGTTGAGGAAAAAGCATGTTCTGGATCCTGAGAAATGAGCTCTTAGCATTTTCTGAATGGGTACATATCAGGGAAAACCAAGGTGGACCTTGAGAAAGGTGGAGGAGGAGAAATGAAAGGTGTGTTCCAGGCAGAACTAAGCATGAGCACAGGCATAGATGCAAGTGTTGTTAGAAGATAGAAGTGTAAGACTCGGAGAGGCCTTGGAGAGCATCTGGTTCAAACCTTTTATTTCATAAGTGAGGAAATAGGGGCCAGAGAGGACCCAGGTCTAGATTTCCCAGATTTCCTGATTGTAAGACTGGTGCTGTCACTCTTCTCATTATACCACACCCTGTTTCCTTCTAAATTAGAACCAGTGCTAGACATAGGAATTTGAAATTTACTCTCCAAGTAGTAACAAGTCCTTAAAAGCTAGTGATATAAGTGGTACAATGAAGAGAAATTTGGGCCTACGTGCAGAAAACCAGCAACCTCCAGGTCTGTCCCCATGCACTAGCTGATTTTGGATAAGTCCTTCTGCTCTCCCACTCTGCTTTGTCATGTATAAAATGGGGAGGTTGGGATAAAATGTTCTCAAAGTAGGTCTTTTTCTGGGAAGAGACAGAATTCATGAGCAGTAAAAGTCATATTGGTGTGAACACTACTAGGCTGCTGTCCTCCCAGCTGGCCTGAATCTAGTGCTCTCAGATAATCAGTGCTGATCAACTGCTTTCATCCGTGGGACTCCTGGCTCTCCTGAGCTTAGGCCACTTATTGCATGGAAGTTCTCTTTGTATTGAATGAAAAGATCTCCATGATGAGTGGTTAAATGTAAAAGCATGGTGCAAAGGGTAGGCTTTCTTTGAGTAAAATGAAATGAAAAATAAGATACACATAGTTTATTCACTTATTTCAATAAAGGAACTGGAAAAATTATATATGAAACTAATAAAGTAACCATCAATTTTTGTGTTTGTGTGTGGGAATAGGTATATAGAAAAGAATGAAGGGACA